GGGAATCAATTTCTGTTGTGGACAGACACCCAGCATAGATAATTCTCCTCTTTATTCCCAGGAAATTAACGCACTGCCTCTCCCATCGAGCCAATCCCGCTGTATTTCCTTCATTCCACAAATTTCCACAGCAGAGGCATTAATCCTGCTCTCACAGCCGCCCAAGACACGTTGCTCTTCAAGCCCCACGCTTGACCCCTGCTCACCACAATGGGTCTTCCTGCCCCCATCCATCCTCCCATGCCCAAAACCCCTCAGCTCACTGCTGCTTCCCGAGTCTTGATCTCCAGAACATCTCCCATCCGTGCTTTCACCAGCGAAGGTGTTGGAGTCAGCAGCTGACACGATGATGCCGCGGGCTCGGCCAGCCTGGGACGGATTCACCAGGGAGCTGGAGAGAGCTGGCCATCCTTCTGCCTGCAATTGCAGGAAGGCAATGGAGGATGATTGGCCTCACCACCACACAGAGGGGATTGCACCATAAGTCCCTCAGTTGGACACTCCAGGCACTGGAAAACTATGTCACTTGGTGCAGCAGCGCTGTGCGTAGGAAGGACACAGGATGAGTGCCAGCTCTGGATGGTTCCAGCTGGGATGGAGTTAACTTTCTTCCCAGCAGCTGGTGTGAGGCTGTTTGGGTTTGTGCTGAGGAGAAGCTGATCACACACTGATGGGCAGAGCTGCTGCCAGGACAGTCAAGGACATTCCACATTCTCTGCTGTGCCCGTGTCTGCAGGGGCAGGAGAAGCTGGGAGGGAGCACAGCCCCAGTTCCCAGCCCAGGATTTGACCCTCAGGTTTAGGACTGAGACCAAACTGGCCAATGGTCTGTTCCACCCCATGCACGGCATGGCCAGGGTATAGTTGGGGCTCTGTCTGGAAGTGCTCTCTCTTGCTCTGGGTTCTTTCCCTCCAGGTCACCACTCTCTCAGCATCGTCTCAGTCTCTCAGACACTTGGGCTCTTATCTCCATTCAGGGATTGTGGTTTCGGGACTCTCCCTGCTCCAGGATTGTTAGCTGGGAATGAGCTGAGCCTTGGCCATCGGGTGGTTAGCAGTGTCACTGTGTGTCACTCATTTGTGTATTTGTATATATTACTGTTACTATTTCCAATATTATTGTAGTTTAGTTACTAGTTTGTTCCTCTCTCAACCCACAACTCTCTTTTCCCTTCACCCCTTTAACTCTCTCCCCATCCCTGGAGGGAGGAGGGTGAGCAAGCAGCTGTTGTGTAAAACAACAACACAGATGAAATCTGAATTGTCGGTGCAGCAACCACAATGGTGGGGTTTTGCCTGTGAGAGGGGCCAGGTGGGAGCATGGCGGTCTGCCATTGAGAGGAGAACAGGAGCTGCTGCCCCTCCAGGAGGCAGACGCTGGAAGGTGTCCCTTCTCTGGGACTTGAGGACGATGTGACATCCAAGCCATGGGCTCCATCCTGGCTGATGAAAGAGCTGCACAGCGCTGGTAGCCAGCAGCCATGAGCAGAACAACATGTCATTTAAAATATGCTGTGTGCATTTCAAAATCCATGCCCAGAAACATGTGAAATCAGTTTCCCATGAACATTTGCAGCCAGTGCAAATCGATCAAGGGCTGTTTGCAAAAAAAAAATTAGCACAAAAGGGCACAAACAGGAAAGGCATTCATTTTATACATGGATTCAGCTTTGCAGCAGGTTTCTGTCGGGGGGAGGTGAGCCAGGGTGCTTCTAGCATCACGAATTTATGCCTTGGTTACTCCCCCATAACATACTGATGAGAGGACTTGACTCCATTACGCTGCAGAGCTGCACTGGCGGGCATTAGGTGGCAAAATTAGGCACAGAATTGGAGATGCCTTAACTTGTGCCCCCCGCCACGCACACCGTCTGACACAGTGTTTAATTACGCAAACCCATGGTGGACCCCTGCCTCACCCAGTGCATGCAATGGGTGCTGTTTCTGAAGGATTGACTCTCTGATATTTTATTTTTCTGTCGTTGTCCAGCATTTGCCATCTCTATCAGTGTTGTACGAGCCCTTCCCCAAAGACAAGTGTTCGCTCCCTATGGGTCTCTGTATAGGAGGCAGAGTTTATAGCCGATGTGAAAACTCATATGATGCTTGTCAAGAGGACATGGTATTTTAAGGTGAGAAATAACTCATGAGTGTCCATTTATACAGGTGAACAGAGGGAAACATCAAAGATGGAAGAACAGAGGAAATAGACTGGAAGCACTCAAAGCAAGGGCTTTGGAAGCAATGAGCAAGCACTCCCACATCAACATGTCCACCTACATGAGGGGCCATGTACACCTTTCCAACAGGCAAGCCCAGATTTTGTCCAGAAAATGCACCAGGAGGACTTTCAGCAGCAGGAGCCAGAGTTCAGCCAGGGACTGAGCACACTGGGGCTGCAAACACTTTGCTATGCAGGTGGGACCTGTCCCCATGCCACAATTCACTGTGGACAAGGGACTGTGCCCAGCACACAGGAGGGACGAAGGCTTAGAGAGGAGACACAAAACAGGGAGAAAAAGGAGCATCTTTGTCTAGAGAGCAGAGATTCTTCCAGTGACACAGACAGAGCCCCTCTCAGGTGAACAGCACAAAGACATAAACAAGTTTTTCTGCCTAAATAAAATCGGTGATATTCAGCTGGCTGGTCCTGGACCAAGTTCCCAGTAAAACAGGTAAGCAGTGGGTAAGCAGCTCCTGCTAGACTCCTCCCCACACCTCGTCTCTATGGGGAGGAGCATCTTCCCCTTAAAGAAATAGCTCCGGACTCCATACATCCACTGCCAGCTCAGCTCCGAGAACATAGCTCCAGGCTCAGCCCAGTGCCAGGGGCAGGTCCTGGTTCACTGCAACAACCTACTGCAGGGACAACCCTGTTTTTCCAAGTCACATCACTAATGTTCTCGGTATTTTCTTTCTCATTGACTTCTTTGGCTTTGCTAATTTATGCAGGCAGCTTCTCCGCTTTGGTGAAGTGTCGTGACAGCTCTGCTTGACTCGCCAAAGAGATAAAACACGACCACTTCCGTAACCAGCGGAGTTCACACTGGATCCTCGTCAACCAGAGCTAGTCATATAGATCCCATGCATTCATATTGAAAGTTACACTTTACATGCCATCGAAAAGCAGAGGCCGACCCCAAAAAGCTGTCAGCCCTTACCCATGGTGTAGCCTTCTAAAAGGAAACAGCAATGTCCCAGCCTGTATAAAAGCGAACAATGACAAACTCCATTTGTAACTAAACCTACAAATGTCTAGGCAAGAACCTAGAAATGCCTAGAAACCTAGAAAAACCTAGAAATGCCTGCTAAGCACCTTTTGTACATCATAACATCACATTTCTCAGCATCTATCTGACTTCCCAGAGCCTGCAGAGAGTACCCCGTTAACGAGATCAATGGGGGCATATCTCCAGTCTCAACTCTCTGGCGGCATTCTAGTCGCTTACATGGACCCAGGGAGATCCTTGCTCCACCAACAGCAAATATCCCACATTCGACCATCAGGATAAAACTTCTGCAGCATCCTCCCTCAACTATCCTGTTCTTTCTATTAAACCAGAAAAAGTTTATCTCTGGATAAACGTTCACTGCTGGAGCTACAGTGACATGACTTGGAGTCAACACAGAAACAAAGAAAATATCCTCTTCCACCACTGCCCTCTTTGTAATGACTTTTTTTTGTGCATAAAAGCCAAAGAGGGATGAATCTAATGCCACACAACTCCTAAGTGACCAGCACTGAACTGCTGTCGGGAGGTGTGGGCGCAGTGCCTGTCCTCTCCAGGACATTCGGACGGGACATCCACCATCCAATGGCACATGAAGGCCATGTCACCTGCCAGAGTCACCGCTTGTTTGACCTTCCTAACAAGGGTTTAAAAGAAAAATCAAGTTGACCTCAGCATCTTCCCCATCTTCTTCCAGCATGACTTCAGATCTGCAGAACTTTGGAGCAAATACAATCCAGGGAAACCACAAAGTCAGCAGAAGCTGATGAAAAACAAACAGTTCTATGAATAAAATACCAAATTACAGATGTGAGCTTAAAGCCATGAGGAATTTCTACTCTACTATATGACTTTCAGCATAAGCAATTTTTCCAAAAATTTATATCAATACACAGTCCTTAACTGCAACCACGATGGTAGCAGGCTGCCATGAGATAATCTCCAGTGGCCCTCAAACGTTTAAATTCCTCCAAGGGGAATGAGGTTTGTCTGCAGTTTGAGAGTCGATCCAACTCACTAAAAAGCAGGTCTAACATTAAGAACACTGAAGATTAATGGCCAGGTACATCATTAAGTAGCGAGCTAGATCGATATCGGGACTGAGAGCAGTACATGCATTTCCACCTCCCTCCCAGCAGCTGAGTTAAAGGCTGCCGCCTAAGAAGAAGAACACAGAGAGATAGAGCTCATCAGTTTTATCATGTGCTTCTGTATTGTGCCTGCAAAAATGGAACTTTCCCAAAAGAATACTGCCAAGTCCTTCTCAAACACAGCACTAATCTGTAGGTGCAACTAATTTACCTCCACATACTAACTGGGTGTTTCTCTCAGCAAATGGGCCAATTACATGCCTAATAAGCCATTTCTGGACACAAAAATCTAATTTGTGTGCACAATCATGCTAACTATCAGCCAAAATTAGGCACTGAGTTTTGCAAGTCTTCTTCTTGTTACCTACACAGCCTTCTTTTGATCCAACAGAAGCACCAGAAGCTGTGATGCTCTTTAAGGACTCATTCAATGTAACTGGCCCAGATCGGGTGTCATTTCATACCCAAACACTTGCTGATGTTTACACAACAGGTGTCTTCCTTCATTTTTTAATACTCAGTCTTTTATGGCTAACATGCACTTGGCGCAAGGGCTTGATAAGACGCCTTTTCTCCGTGTCTTTCTACAGAGACTCTGAGAAGTGTTTGGTGATGCCCACCAAGCAGATCTCTGCCACCAGAAAGCACATCTGGAAAATAACAAATTATTGCAGTAGTACCTGCTCTGGTTTGATGGGCTCAGTTGTTGTGAAAATGTCGGAATAATGTTGCCTCTCGAAGACTCGATCCAACACTTCTAGCTGCTGCTGAGTGAAAAGGTCTCCTCGCATCTGTTTCCGAAGAAAATCTCTGCCTGGGAGAGAATGGCCATTTGGTACTGGAGATTCCTGAATACCTTTCAAAGAGGAGAAGGAAGACAGAGAATAAGTATGCATCGCAGTGACGAGACCTAAACAAAACTGTCTCATTTCATCCCTTGAATAGATGAAGGTACCAGTTTGGTGAGATTATGAGGCCTCTTTGAGCAGAGGTTACAAGGAAGACACATATGGCCAGAAGATGCTCTGACCACTCCTCCATTACAGCCAACCCTCAACACAATTTACCACCAGTGGTTTCACACATAACTTTAAAGGCAGGACAAAGGTTAACAGTCACATCTTTGTTCGCATCACTTTTACAACACCACCTGAGACGCTGTCTGGTTCATGGTCTGGATGCAGGAGGATGAGTACACCACCTGATGCTTGTCATGGTTTGACCGATCCAGCCAAATACCACACAGCCACTCACTCACCCTCCACCCTCCCAGGGACAGAGATAAGAATGGAAGGGGTGAAGGGAAAAGAGACTCGTGCGCTGAGAGAAGAACAATTTAATAACTAAACTACAATAATATTGAAAGTGATAATGATAATAATTATTATAATAGTAATACTATACAAAGATACAAATTATGAATGAGTGATACACTGTGATACTGCTCACTATGCAATGACCAAGGCTCAGCCCGTTCCTGACTAGTGATCCAGGAGAAGAGAAAGTCATGAAACCGCAATCCTGGAAAAGGGAGAAGAGCCCAAGAGTCCAATAAAGAGCTTCTGGACAGAGCCTCATCTAT